CAGGTCCAGACCCTCTGGCCTGGTGAAGCTTATGGTGTACTCCCAGCTCCCAGCTACATGAATGAGGGCATAGAGGTCATTTGCCCTGAGACCCATCCCCAAGATCAGATCCACCACCACTCGCCTTCCTGGAGGGACTGCACCACCTTCCCATTTAAGTATGACGACATTTCGCCTTGGACCCCAAACAGAGGCCAGAGATCCTAGACCCGACTCTGGGGTTCTCAAAGTGGTGGGTTTTCAGGGAAAAACCCGCTTGGAAGTGGAGTTCCCCTTCGACTGAAGCCCTGGCTTGATGGCGTTACCAGGAGCAGAGCCCACCACCTGAGCAAAGGTAGTCTTGTCGGGGCCAAGGGCCCCACACTGATACAGCACTGGTCCACACATTACTATTCACAGATCGATCTGAGCTCGTATGGACTGTCCGTCATGCCTGCACTGTTAGGATTGTCCGTCACGCCTGCACTGCTAGGATTGTCCGTCACGCCTGCACTGCTAGGATTGTCCCATCACGCCTGCTGCTAGGATTGTCCGTCACGCCTGCACTGCTAGGATTGTCTGTCACGCCTGCACTGCTAGGATTGTCCGTCACGCCTGCACGGTAGGATTGTCCATCACGCCTGCACCGCTAGGATTGTCCATCACGCCTGCACTGCTAGGATTGTCCATCACGCCTGCACTGGTGGGATTGTCTGTCACGCCTGCACTGGTGGGATTGTCCGTCACGCCTGCACTGGTAGGATTGTCCATCATGACGCTAGGATTGTCCATCACGCCTGCTGCGCTAGGATTGTCCATCACGCCTGCACTGGTGGGATTGTCCTCTCACGCCTGCACTGGTAGGATTGTCCGTCACGCCTGCACTGGTAGGATTGTCCGTCACGCCTGCACTGGTAGGATTGTCCATCACGCCTGCACCGCTAGGATTGTCCATCACGCCTGCACTGGTGGGATTGTCCATCACGCCTGAACTGGTGGGATTGTCCTTCACGCCTGCACTGGCAGGACTGTCCATCACGCCTGCACTGGTAGGATTGTCCATCACGCCTGCACTGGTAGGATTGTCCATGACTCCTGCACTGGTAGGATTGTCCTTCACGCCTGCACTGGTGGGATTGTCCATCACGCCTGCACTGGTAGGATTGTCCTTCACGCCTGCACTGGTAGGATTGTCCATCACGCCTGCACTGGTAGGATTGTCCATCACGCCTGCACTGGTAGGATTGTCCTGTCACTCCTGCACTGCTAGGATTGTCCTTCACGCCTGCACTGGTAGGATTGTCCGTCACGCCTGCACTGCTGGGATTGTCCGTCACGCCTGCACTGCTGGGATTGTCCATCATGCCTGCACTGGTAGGATTGTCCATCACGCCTGCACTGGTAGGATTGTCCATCATGCCTGCAGTGGTAGGATTGTCCATCACGCCTGCACTGGTAGGATTGTCCATCACGCCTGCACTGTAGGATTGTCCATCACGCCTGCACTGGTAGGATTGTCCATCATGCCTGCACTGCTAGGATTGTCCATCACGCCTGCACTGCTAGGATTGTCCATCACGCCTGCACTGCTAGGATTGTCCATCACGCCTGCACTGGTAGGATTGTCCATCACGCCTGCACTGCTAGGATTGTCCATCACGACTGCACTGGTAGGATTGTCCATCACGTCTGCACTGCTAGGATTGTCCATCACGCCTGCACTGGTAGGATTGTCCATCACGTCTGCACTGCTAGGATTGTCCATCACGCCTGCACTGGTAGGATTGTCCATCACGCCTGCACTGCTAGGATTGTCCGTCACGCCTGCACTGGTAGGATTGTCCATCACGCCTGCACTGGTAGGATTGTCCATCACGCCTGCACTGGTAGGATTGTCCATCACGCCTGCACTGGTAGGATTGTCCGTCACGCCTGCACTGGTAGGATTGTCCATCACGCCTGCACTGGTAGGATTGTCCATCATGCCTGCACTGGTAGGATTGTCCATCATGCCTGCACTGGTAGGATTGTCCATCATGCCTGCACTGCTAGGATTGTCCATCACGCCTGCACTGGTAGGACTGTCCATCAAGCCTGCACTGTGGTAGGACTGTCCATCATGCCTGCACTGGTAGGATTGTCCATCACGCCTGCACTGCTAGGATTGTCCGTCACGCCTGCACTGGTAGGATTGTCCATCACGCCTGCACTGGTAGGACTGTCCATCATGCCTGCACTGGTAGGATTGTCCATCATGCCTGCACTGGTAGGACTGTCCATCATGCCTGCACTGGTAGGATTGTCCATCATGCCTGCACTGCTAGGATTGTCCATCAAGCCTGCACTGGTAGGATTGTCCGTCACGCAGACATTAACCCTTTCATCAGGTGCAGCCATAGTCTCCACTGCAATACCACCAGTCACCTGATGCTGCACTATAGAGCCTTGCTGAGTGGCTGTGATTGGGCAAACAGGCCAAAGATGGGTTAACGGGTTCTGCTGGCACTTGTAGTCCCTCTGCAGAAATGTCTTCTTTTTTTTTTTAAATGCACGTTTTGCTGACTTCTAACACAATCAGTCAGGAGAAACTCCTTGCTGGACATGGGGTCACCAGGCTGGGTGTCACTGGGCAAACGGTCAGCATTAGTAAAAGCCTTGCTGGACATGGGGTCACCAGGCTGGGTGTCACTGGGCAAACGGTCAGCATTAGTCAAAGCTTTGCTGGACATGGGGTCACCAGGCTGGGTGTCACTGGGCAAATGGAACTGGGGGTCTCCTCCTCCACCTTTGCCATCCTGGCAAACCTTCTCTCATTAGAAAACTTCTCCTTGCAAATGCCCATCTCTCCCTTCCATCATGGCCACAATGGTTTCCTGGTGTTCCACCCGGACCTTAGCCGACTGGACTTCAGTATCCATGGATCCCCGGTTCCGGCTATACAGCCCAGGAGATGGCAGAAGAAGCCCAGCTGGCCTCTATGGCTTCCCTAGGAAGGGGCCAGGAGGGCTGGGAAAGATTTCACCACACTCCCCTCTCACACACAAGAGCTGGATTACCAGACAGCAGGAGAAACTCCTCCCCTCCTGACACCTGTGCTCAATGGTGGGGCACTATTCCTCCCACTGACACCAATGATGGGGCACTATTCCTCACACTGACACCAATGATGGGGCTCTATTCCTCCCACTGATACCAATGATGGGGCACTATTCCCTCCATTGATACCAATGATGGGGCACTATTCCTCCCACTGACACCAATGATGGGGCACTATTCCTCCCACTGACACCAATGATGGGGCACTATTCCCCCCACTGACACCAATGATGGGGCACTATTCCTCCCACTGACACCAATGACGGGGCACTATTCCTCCCACTGACACCAATGATGGGGCACTATTCCTCCCACTGACACCAATGATGGGGCTCTATTCCTCCCACTGAAACCAATGATGGGGCACTATTCCCTCCATTGATACCAATGATGGGGCACTATTCCTCCCACTGACACCAATGATGGAGCACTATTCCTCCCACTGACACCAATGACGGGGCACTATTCCTCCCACTGACACCAATGATGGGACACTATTCCTCCCACTGACACCAATGATGGGGCACTATTCCTCCCACTGATACCAATCATGGGGCACTATTCCTCCCACTGACACCAATGACGGGGCACTATTCCTCCCACTGACACCAATGATGGGGCACTATTCCTCCCACTGACACCAATGATGGGACACTATTCCTCCCACTGACACCAATGATGGGGCACTATTCCTCCCACTGACACCAATGATGGGGCACTATTCCTCCCACTGATACCTTTTTAATTTTGGCCCTATGATGGAATAAGATAAGAGGTGTAGTTTACAGATGAAGGGATGGATCTTAAACAGGAAGGGGTGGGATATATTTAGATGTGGGGGAGGTGCCTGATTTAGTCTTGCCTAGGGCAGCACAAACCGAAAATTCACCACTGGGCCCCCCATGGTGGCGGGACATCAAGGCCCAGTCGCAAGTGCGACCTTGGTAGGTCCGCCACTGGGTGGAATGCTCTGCAGTGTGTTATGTGATGAGGTGCCCCCCCCCCCCCCAGTTATAAAGCTGAATTGTGGACATGTGACCCGCCATCATTTCCTCTGCTGGTCCTCAGGCGTGGGCCACGTGGCTGATGGCCATTCCAGGCATGATGGCTCTGAACACGTCTGTGACACGCTATCCTCCTAACAGTTGTGTTTGTTGTTTTCTGTCGCAGCGTTCTCCCTGCCGGCCTCCTTCATGGATCTGTCGGACACGGACTCTGAGAACGGCGGGCCCCGCTCCAGTCCCATGTCCCACCCAGAACAAGGCGTGGTGGAGGCTCTGAAGTGTCTGAATCACAAGGACTGGTAAGACGTCTCCTCATTGGTGCTCCTGCCGGCGATCCCCAACCCAATGTACAACGTATCCTGACCTCTGACCCAAACGCACTGCCCCCTGACCTCTGACCCAAACGCACCGCCCCCTGACCTCTGACCCAAACGCACCGCCCCCTGACCTCTGACCCAAACGCACCGCCCCCTGACCTCTGACCCAACACACCGCCCCCTGACCTCTGACCCAACGCACCGCCCCCTGACCTCTGACCCAACGCACAGCTCCCTGACCTCTGACCTCCATGTCATTTCATGCTGAGCCTGCTGAGAGATAGGCATTCCTGTCCATCCAGTCCTGAGAATTACACTGCTCCACCACTCAGCACAGCCCTGTCTGCTGACCGGAGTAATATGGGATGGAAGTAACAATGTATGATGGAAGTAACAATGTATGATGGAAGTAACAATGTATGACGCGTGATGGGAAGTCCCGTGACTGTACACTAATGATCGGTGCTCTTGCAGGGAGCAGAAGGAGAAGGGACTCCTCAGTTTGCACTGCCTGGCCTCCTGGCACCCCGAGGTTCTCTGCGCCAGAATCCACGATGTCTGCATGGCTGTGACCAGGGAGGTAAGTGCACCTCTAGTCTCCTCCAGTCTTATACAGGTGTACCGGCTCCTCCCCTCCAGTCTTATACAGGTGTACCGGCTCCTCCCCTCCAGTCTTATACAGGTGTACCGGCTCCTCCCCTCCAGTCTTGCCCAGGTGTCCCGGCTCCTCCCCTCCAGTCTTGCCCAGGTGTACTGGCTCCTCCCCTTCAGTCTTGCACAGGTGTACCAGCTCCTCCCCTTCAGTCTTGCACAGGTGTCCCGGCTCCTCCCCTCCAGTCTTGCACAGGTGTCCCGGTTCCCCCCCTCCAGTCTTGCACAGGTGTCCCGGCTCCTCCCCTCCAGTCTTGCACAGGTGTCCTGGCTCCTCCCCTCCAGTCTTGCACAGGTGTCCTGGCTCCTCCCCTCCAGTCTTGCACAGGTGTGCTGGCTCCTCTCCTTCAGTCTTGCACAGGTGTACCGTCTCCTCCCCTCCAGTCTTGCACAGGTGTCCCGGCTCCTCCCCTCCAGTCTTGCACAGGTGTGCTGGCTCCTCTCCTTCAGTCTTGCACAGGTGTACCGGCTCCTCTCCTTCAGTCTTGCACAGGTGTACCGGCTCCTCCCCTCCAGTCTTGCACAGGTGTACCGTCCCCTCCCCTCCAGTCTTGCACAGGTGTACTGGCTCCTCCCCTCCAGTCTTGCACAGGTGTGCTGGATCCTCCCCTCCAGTCTTGCACAAGTGTACCGGCTCCTCCCCTCCAGTCTTGCACAGGTGTACCGGCTCCTCCCCTCCAGTCTTGCACAGGTGTACCGGCTCCTCCCCTTCCCTGTCCTGGCTTCCTCTGATGTCACTGCACACTGGGAGCTTCTCACAATGTGCATTAGGAGCTGCATCAAGTCAGAGCTCCACCACCTACCTTCCTGGCTGGAGGACATCCAGCATCATTTAGACCTTTCCTCCCCAGCCTGACTGTCCCTGCCCCCCTTTTCATTCATTTGATTTCAGTTTTTTCATTCTTAGAGGTTTAGCATCACATGTGGGCGTTACCTATACAAATAGAGCCTGCCTAGGAACACCCACTTCTCCAAAATGATACCCGCCCATCAAGGCATTTTGAGATTTGCATAACTCCTCCCAAGAACCAGCCCACTGCTTGCATCAGGACTGAGGACTCTTGAGAGGAGTGCTGAGGCGGGGTGCTGTGATCATTGCAGGAAGTTATGTACAGCCCCCTGCCGGCCCCTTCCACCTGCCATGATCTGGCTTCATGACATAGAGAAGCACAGAGACCCAGTGATGACATCACTGGGTATTAAAAAAGGTTTATAATGAAAACAGGTTTTTGTTAACCACGTGCGTCCCGCCTGCAATGTACTGCGCGCGGACAGCGGGTGCAGGCAGAGTGAGTTCTGGCATGACACCCGCTGACACCTACTGTGATCGCACACAGCAAGAGTCGGTCAGGAAGTCCCAGCCAATGATTCACAACCAGGACCTGCTGATCTGCTGTGTCCAATCACAGCCCAGAGCTCTGTGCTGACATTCAACACAGAGCTCTGTACAGTGGGAACGATCTCTCTGTTTTTCATCCCTGCAAAGCAAACTGTGACCAATTATACTACTCTGGGGGAATGTGGTGTTTTGTTTTTTAATTTTTTTTTTTTTTCCCCCCTTTTTTTAAATATGTTTTTTATTATATTTTTTTTCCTTTTTACAAGCTGTGACCAGAGCAATAAAATTATGATTGCCTATAGCATTTTACTGAATACAATTGATTGGACTACTCTGGGGGAATGGTTTTTTTTTCATTTAAATTTTATTTTTTTTACATATCCTGTCACCAGCGCAGCGTCATCATATGGCTGGTGTGGTGGTGATCAGGGATACTGACTGGTGACAGTATGGGAAACAAAAAAACCTATTTTTTTAATTTCTTTTTTATTATATTCTTTTTTTTTTTCCTCCTTTTTTTTTTTTCTTTAACAAACTGTGACCAATCATACAATTATGATTGCTTATAGCAGTGCATTTCATTTCTCTAAGCAAGCATTTTATTGAATTAAATCGATTCATTCACTAAATATTGTGATTTTTTTCCATTTTTTTAAGAATGGAATCCATTCAATCAGTGTGTAATAGTATGATAAAGCTGTGATTGGCCACAGCTATCACATGGTACAGATGTGTTTGGCCCTGTCTATACCATGTGATCACTGTGTCCAATCACAGATAGGAAGACAACTGTACACCGTGCATTGCATGAATTGAAGCCATTCATTGTGTACAATTGTCATGTGATCTGCTGTGATTCGCTACAGCGATCACATGGTACCAGCAGCTGGCCGGTACAGTGATCTGTCATCGGCTGTGTCACAGTGGGTGACAGAGCACGCCCGCAACAGCGCATTCCAGGAGGATGTCATATGGCATCCACCCGGGACTAGGAAAGTCCCACCCGGCCTATTGTAGTATTACAGCCGCATAGTAACATTGTATTGCTCTGGTCACAGTTTGTAAAAAAAAAAAAAAAAGGAAAAAATGGGAAAAAAAAAGGAAAAAAATGTTAAAGAAAGGAAAATAATGTAATAAAAAGGGAAAAAAATTTACTAAAAAAAGTTAAAGGAAAATAATGTAATAAAAAAAGGGAAAACGTACTAAAAAATGTTAAAAAAAGTAAAAAAAAAAAAAAAAGGAAAATAATGTAATAAGAGAAAAAAATGTACTAAAAAAAAATATGTAATAAAAAAAAATAACAAAAAAAGGAAATAGATGTACTAATAAATGTGAAAAAAAAAATTAAAAAAAAGAAGAAAATTTACTAAAAAAAGGGAAAAAAATGTAATAAAAAAAGTGAAAAAAATTTAATAAAGAATTAAAAAAAAAAAAAAAATATTAACATTATTAGTTTTTTTTTTTTTCTCATATTGTCACCAGTCAGTCCCCTGATCACTACCACCCAGTCGTATGATGATGCTGCGCTGGTGACAGGATATGGAAAAAAAAAAAAAAAAAGTTTTTTTTTAATTTTCCAAAAAATTGTGACAAAAAAATTACAACTTCAAAAAACTCTCCCCTTACTAAATACCTCAGACTGTCTACTTTCCAAAAAGGGGTCATTTGGGGGTTAAAGTGTATCTAAATCCAAGAACATCAATGTAACGCATTGCGCCTTACTTATCTATGTGATGGCTGCCTTCCTTTTCTTTTTTTCCTTTCTTTTCACCCGGTGATCCCGCCAATACCGCACTTCCTGTCTTAGGCTAGGCTCACACCTATGCAGGGTGTTTGAGCCGTTTCTGCATTGCGTTTTGTGTTTTTGATGCATGTTGTGTTTTTTTTTTTTTTTTTGTGTTCTTGTTGCTAGGCAGATTTACATTGCAAAATGCAGTACAGCCCATGTAACATGATTTCCTATGGGACGGGTTCACATCTCTGCACTTTCACCCGCTGCGTTTTTTGGAAAGATGCGGGGACTTTTTTTAATGCAAAACATGCGTTTTTGGTTCAATAGACTTCAATGGAGATGCTGCAGAAATGCATGTAGTGTGTTTTTGATGTGTGTTTTTTTTTTTTTTTCTTTTACGCATTTTGTGTTTTAATCTGCCCAGCAGCAAAAGAAACGCGTCAAAACAAATGTGTAAAAACGCACCGCGCAAAAGCACTGCAGAAACGGAAAAAGCAAAGCAAACTGCATAGGTATGAATGGAGCCTTATGCAGGCCATACACGGGTCGAATTCCAAATGATTTTTCGATCGAAAATCAAAAACGTTGTTAGTTCTGTAATCCGATGGTGCCACCAATGATTTAGAAAATCGGTCGTTTTTCACGCATTTTCCAGCATGCCGATAAACGAAATGAGGAGGAACCATGAAAATCGGCCGATGCCATCGCCCCACTAAGTGAAAATCATCCGATTATTCTTGGGTCCAATTTTCGTACAAAAATCGTTTGGAAATGGACCCATGTATGGCCGGTCTTAGGCTGACAACGCTCAGCGCACTGTATCTCTGGAGGAGCAGCGTTGTCACCCTAGGACAGTAGGGCTCTCTTGGGCTGGCCATACATGGGTCGATTTCTGAACGATTTTCATATGAAAATAGGACCCAAGAATAGTTGGTCGATTTTCGCTGTTAGTGGGATGATGGCACTGGCCAATTTTTTTTTTTTTGTGGTTTCTCCCCATTTCATTTATCGGGCATGCTGGAAAATTTGTGAAAAACGACAGATTTTTATTTTTTTTAAATCATTGGTGGCCCCGTGGGATTACAGTACGAACAATGTTTTCGATTTTCAGTTGAAAAATCATTTGGAATTCAACCCGTGTATGGTTTGCAACAGAAATTTCGCATTCAAAACCTCCGGGTGTGTCGGATGTCCACCAACCCCCCCCCCCTTCCTGCTGCACACTGAGGTTCTGTCTGCCAGCCCACAGTAGCCAGGAGTCGCAGGAAGGAACCACAGCGCACAGCAGGGGGTGCAGACAGTGGCCACACCCAGAAGCATTGAATGCAAAGATTCTCTTGCAGACCACAACCCTGCAAGAGAGCCAGGATCCAAGCAGCTGGAAGTCGTTGTTCCCCCCCCCCCCCTTGCACGCTGTGGTTCTGTCTGCCATCCCTCACAGCCCACAGTAGCCGGGAGTCGCAGGAAGGAACCACAGCGCACAGCAGGGGGTGCAGACAGTGGCCACACCCATCCAGAAGCATTGAATGCAAAGATTCTCTTGCAGACCACAACCCTGCAAGAGAGCCAGGATCCAAGCAGCTGGAAGTTTTTGTGTCCCCCCCCCCCCCCCGCGCTGCACGCTGTGGTTCTGTCTGCCATCCCTCACAGGGCACAGTAGCCAGGAGTTGCAGGAAGGAACCATGGCCCACAGCAGGGGGTGCAGACAGAGGCCACACCCAGAAGCATCGAATCCGAAGATTCTCTTGCAGACCACAACCCTGCAAGAGAGCCAGGATCCAAGCAGCTGGAAGTCGTTGTTCCCCCCCCCCCCCACTGCGGTTTTGTTCATATCGCTGACAAAGTCGCTTTAACAGCTGCGCTGTCTTTGCCCGCCAGGTCAGCAACCTTCGCTCCAAAGTCTCCCGTCATGCCATCAAGACGATTGGCGAGCTGTTCAGGTGCCTCCGCCGAAACATGGACCAGGAGGTGGAGGAAATCGTTCGGGTTTTGCTTCACAAGATCGGCGACTCCAATGATTTCATCCGGGAGGAAGCCGACAATTCTTTAGAAATGATGGTGGAGAACGCGAGCCCCTCCAAGGCGCTGTGCGCGCTGATCGCAGGAGGAGTCAGGTGGGTGTTCCTTCGACTGCCGAATCCTCGCAATGTGTAAAGCCGGCGACACACGGGGCGAATTCCGAACTAATTTTCTTTTGAAAATCTTAAGAATTTTCGTTTGAATTTTCGCACCATTATGCAGGCCATAGACGGGTCGAAAACCGGCCGTTTTTAAAAAAAAAAACCCAAAAAAAACAAAAAATCGGTCGTTCAATAGGCCGACGTTACCACCAATGGTGAAGAAAAAATGGGCCATTTTCGTCCCGTCTACGGCCGGCATTTAATTACTTCTGTCCCTGCAGAGAGCTCCGCTATTATATTTTACATGAAAAAGTCTTGCGGTTGCAACAATGTATCCATTTGTATCCATTTCAGATAGAGATGGTTTTATTCAGATACAAATAGATACATTTGTTGCAACCGCAAGACTTTCATATAAAATATAATAGCGGACTGGAATTCTTCTCCTCCTCCTTTTCTTGGTCATGGCGCAGATTTTTTTTATCGGTAAAACGATTGGCTGATGTGCCCATCATTGCCGGGAAAATCGACCGATCGGCAAAATCGGCCAATTTATTTCCAACTTTACCGATTAAAAAAAAAAGTGCCAAAACCCCAAAAATCGGCCGACCAATTAACCCATTAACTGTTTTTTTTTTTTTGGCCGAAAAATCGGCAGATTTTCGACCCGTCTATGGCCTGCATTAGTGGGTCACAGAAATGGCCAATTTTTGTTTGACTGTCGAATTTGTGCGA